GCCGCAGCCGCCGAAAGAATAGTACACAAGGGGGCGGCGCTGTTTCTTTTTTGGTGCGGTGGCGCGCGCAATTGTCACCCGCCAAGTTTGACCAGACCGACGCGCTTAGCAGCGTGCGGCTTGTGGGGGATGCGGGCTGTTGGGGAGACTCACGAGGCTCACGGGACATGCATGCGGCCGCACGCGGCGCTCTGCAGCAGGTTAGGAATGACGGACAAAAGGGGGCGCGGCGCGGCGCGGCGCAGCGCGCGGGCTCGGCCCCAGATCTACAGGCGCGGGCTCAGAGGGGCGCGGCAGGGGAAAAAGCGTGGCGCCGCTCCCCTTGGGAGGTGGCACAGGCGACACGACGGGAATAGCCCACAAGTCCTGGATGCAGCGACGACGAGCGCACTGGAGCGCAACACCAGGGCAACAGGGAGGCTCAGGCGGGGTCGCGCCGCAGGCAGAGCAGGAACAGGCGGCCCAGCGCACGGCGCACGGCGCTGGGACTGAGGCGCGCAAGCGCAAGACAAGAGCGGCGGCCCCACAGGCCACCACAAGACAGGCGTGCGGCCCCGGGTGCGGAGCAAAACGAGAGGCACGGCGCGCAGCCAGGCAGCCGAGGCGTGCAACCGGGTCGCGCCAGGCGGGCGATCGCAGGCCTGGACACGCAGCCACCCCCTGGGGCAGGCCTCCCTGCCCCTTCTTGAACCCTGGCAGGCATTCCAGGCCCCACACATGGGCCCTCACCGCTTCTCCGATGGCATGAAGCGTGTGCAAGACCCAGGGGCAGAGGGCGGGGGCTCGGGAGCTCAGAGGCCCCACTGGGCGGCGGGCCTTCAGCGGAAGGGGCGCAGCGGCCCTCGGAGTGCGGGCTGGCGGGCGGCAATCTCACAGACGACACGCGGGGAAAAACGGGTGGGATGAATAGACGCGCAGCGGCGGCGCGGGCCGCGTCACCCGAGACCGCCGGTGGTCGCGGCGGCGCCCGCGCACGCCGTGGTAGTGGGTAACAGTTCGCAGTTCACAGTGCTCGTTGGCAGCGCTCGCAGCCCACACAGACGAGAGACGGGACCAAACAGCCGCCTAGCTGGGCGGTCGCCAAACAGACACATCGCCTTTTTTTGGTTTTCTTTGTTGAACAAGCCAGGGGCCATTGCACCTGGCGCGCCGGGCGTGCAAGGCAGCCCGCGATGAGGGGGGGGGGCTGTAAAAGCGCGTCTCGAGGCAACCTGAGCCGTGAACCCTCACTGGCCCCACCGACCGTCGCGGTCGGGCCCCCTGCCCCCACAGGCCCCACCCACGACCTCGCCCCTGTTTGTTGGTGCAGGTTAGTGCGGGGTGACTGCGGCGTTGCGACCGCGTGCGCCTGCTGCGCCGCCCGAAACATCTGCCTTAGCATCCCTGGGGCTCCAAATTGTTATGTTGTGGCCGGGAGGGGGCCCGGCGGATGGCCGCTGCACCGCCACAGGCACGCTGCGCCGGTGAAGAGCGGGGGGCGCGGCGCAGCCCCAGCAGCGTGCCCCCCGCCACTCATGCGGCAGAATCGTCGCGATAGCAGCAAAGCAGAGAGAACTCAGGATTGCGGCCGGCCCCGCCTTCCCGGGGCGCGCCGGGCCCCTGGCGGCCGCGGCCCCTGGCGGCTCGTGAAGGGCTCAAAGGGGCCCCGGGAAAGGAGTGGGGTGGGGCGCGTGCATTCGAAACAGGGTCGGGCGCGTGGGGAGTGACAAGGGTCTGGGCGGGGCCGGCCCGCGCGAATACGCGCGTTTTTGGTGCCCCATCGGGGGGCTCTCGCACGCTTGACGCGAGGGGAATGCGGCCGCGAGCTTCGGCTGCTGGCCCGCGGCGCCGCCGCCGCATGGCGCGGCGGCCTGCTCCAAGGTGGTTGTGGGTCAGGCTGCCCTGTGCACTAGGGCTCGCCCAAAGCCCCAGCGGCTGCAGCCGAACGGGGCACCAGAGTGTCTTGAGTGTAGTGCCGTAGCGCGGCAGCGCTGACGATGCACCGCTGCTGGCTGGCTGACTGGTGGGTGCGCGCGCGGCCCGTGATCAACGCGGTGCGGTACCCGTTGGGCTGCGCGCCCAAGATTCCGCCCCAAGTTGGCGGCGACGGCGGCGGCGGTTGCGGCGCGAGCTCTGCTGCTCGCGCCGCCTCGCGCCCCGCGCAAATACAGGCTGCCCCCGCCGCCGCCACCGCCAATGCCGTTGCTCTGCAAGCTTCAAGCGCCGACCCGCTCGGCCTCAGTAGTCGTGATGGTGGTGCGTGTGCGCGTGTGGGCGCTGCTGCTGCTGCATGACTACCCGCTGGTGATGCTGCATGTGCGCCGCCGCCGCGCCCGCCGCCGACACCGCGTCCTGCGCCGCCGCAACCGCCGCGGCCGCCGCCGCCACCGCCGCGCCCGCGCCCGCGCCTGCGGCCACCAGCCCCGTGCCGCCGCTGCTGCTCGCGCGCCGGCTGAGGAGGCCCTCCGCGGCGTCGGCGGCCGCGTGCTGCGCGGCCTGCTGGTCCCTGATGGCCTCCAGCTGGCGCGCCAGCTCCTTCATGGAGGGCCTGTTGCCGGGGTTTGGCTCCAGGCAGGCCTCCAGCAGGCCGCGCCACTCGGCGTCGCACCAGGAGGGCACGTCCAGGTGCAGGTTGCCACACATGAGGCCCATCAGGATCTGCTGGGGGGTCAGGTCCTGGTAGCGATGGGGAGGGGGGGGGGTGGGGTGAGGAGGAAGGCATGGCTTAATACACGGCTGGCGAGGCGCGACGAAGATTGGGGCTTGCGTGAGTGCAGGGCGGTCCCAGGCATCCCGGGGGCAAGCGCCGCCAAGCTCCCGGCCGATCCGACGACAGCGGTAGCCAGCCTCTCCGCGTATCAGGGCTTCAACCCTCTGCTAGCTGACCCACGCGCTGACGATGACGTGCGCGCAACAGCGACAGCTAGCGGCTCTCACCCGGCCTGCCCCCTTCGGCCCCTCCCTCCAACACACACACGCGCGCGCACACACACACACACACACACACACACACACAAACACACACACGCACGCCCACCTGGTAGGGCATCTCCCTCATGAGCATCTCCCACATGACCACGCCCATGCTCCAGACGTCGGCCTTCTCGCTCACGCGCTCCGGGTCAGCCACCAGCTCTGGCGCCATGTAGGGCAGCGTGCCGCGCAGGTCACGGCAGCTGCTCACGTACGAGTTGAGCTTGTGCTTGCTGGGGGAGACACACAAGGGGGGAGGGGATGGGCGAGTCCAAGAGTTGAGGCGGCAAGAAGGGGGATTAGAAGCAGGGCGTACAAAGGAGTCGGTGATTGGGTAAGGCAGCTTGGCACCATGAACAACCACCACGCACTCCTCGGCCTGACAGGCTGCCACACCCCTATTCGTCTGCCGGTGTTCCCCACCGCAGCTGCACCCCCGCCTGTTCCCGCGCACCTCAGCCCAAAGTCCGCGACCTTGACCGTTGGCACCCAGCCCGCCACCACTGCCTGCGCCAGCGCGGCCTCGCTGCCGGTCCCCGTGCCCGTCACGCCGCTAGCCGCCGACGACCCGCGCTTGTGCAGCGCTCCCGGGTGCCCGCCCCCGCCGCCGCCCGGCTCCGCAGACCCCATCAGAGCCTCCGGCCCCGCGCCGCCCCCAAACGCGCCGCTGCCGCCGCCACCGCCCACCGGCGTGCCCGGCCCGCCGCCGCCGCCGCCGCCGCCCCCGCGGGGCGGCGCAGCGGCCTCGTGGGCCTGGGCGGCGGCCAGCACGAGGGCTGCGGGGCCGTCTAGCAGCAGGTTGTCTGGCTTGAGGTCAAAGTGCACGATGCGCAGCTCGTGCAGGTAAGCGAGCCCGTTGGCCGCCTGCAGCGCCAGCTCGCAGCGCAGCCGCAGGGGCAGCGGGGAGCGGCCGGCGCGCAGGAACTGCGCCAGGCTGCCGCCGCGGACCTGGGGACAGGGGCGCGTTTGGGATGGGGGGACAGAGGGTCTGCAACTGGCTGGTGCTGATGGTGGAGCTGATCCTGCTCGAGGAGGCAAGCAGACCTAGTCCAGCACACGCCACCTGCTCCCTGCATGCATGTCACCTGCCGAACCCCTGACCCACGTCCATGCTCCTGCACAGCAGCAGTGATCACCAACCCCTTGCTCGGCCTTCACTTTAACCCCGCCAATAGCCCCTGGGCCCCTGGCCTAACGCCCTATGGTACTCACATACTCAGTCATGATGCCCACCACCGCCGCCGAATCGGCAGCCGCGCCGCCCCCGCCCCCGCCAATGACGCTGCCACTGCCGCCGCCGCCCGGCTGCGTGGGCGCGTCTGTTATGACGCCGTAGAAGCGCAGCACGTTGGGGTGGTTGAGGTCCGCCAGCAGCGCGGCCTCGCGCCAGAAGGACGCAGAGTGCTTGGAGAAGCGCTCGGTCTGAAATCAAACAGGGACGAGAGGGTGGGAGTGAGGAGGGGCTGTGCAACAAGCGCCATGACAAAATGAAAAATGGCTTCAAGACGCAGGTGGCACAGCAAGGGAAGCAGCAGAGCAGTATGTATGCCAGCCAGCCGGTGCTGCGGGCCAAGCAAGCGCGCCTGCTACCTGACAAGCAAAGCCACCAAAGCACCTCAAGATGCCCTGCGCAAGCAGAAGT